GCAGGTGAAATCTAATTAGGTTGCACTTGATGATGTGTATGACTCTTTTTTGTGTCTAGTGGACTTTACTTCTGAATTAAGAAAACATAAAAAAACCAATGAGGGGTTGGATCAAGTGGTAAGCAGCTTGTTCCAGCTTAAGTAAGGTCTTGAGTTCAAAATCTTGTGTACGCAGTAGCTTTCGTTGGGAGACCTACCCACCATTTTGGTGCGCCACAGCTGATCGAGTCTGCAATAGTCGGGGTGAAGCTCCGGATACCGGGTGGGAAACCAAAAAAGAAAACATAAAAAAAAAAATGTACTCATGTTGTAGGCCTTGTGGTTAACAAGGCCGAGTAAGAAGCAACTTGACTCAGATTCAGGGCATATTTGATTTAGTTTTTAAGTACTTCAGTGTTTTTTTATATTATTTATATTTCATAAATTAAAATTTTTTTAAAAAATTTATCTTTAAATAAAAAAAATAAAAATTGTATCATTATCTACAATTTTTCTAATTATAATTTAGATCTACAAAGTTAAAAATTTAATTTTTTAGCAGAGTCTTTTCTGTTAAGTATTTAAATTTCTAAACTTTTATTAAAGAAAAGTCTAAACTAAACCCTCTTACAAACCATCATCAATTCTGGCATCCTTTGTGTGCAAATGAAAATGAGAAGAGCATAAATGTTTTACTTAAGATATCTTATCATAAATTATATAATAAAACTTACTCGTATCTTGATCTCTCTTCAATGCGTGACAGCCACATACGTGCGTGCGAATCCAAGGAAAGTATAAACAGTGACGTATACCAAGAAAAAAAAAATTAATACCTTTATATTTATCAGTCAAAAAAATTAAAAATTATTTTTCATGCATATGCATAATAAAGGCGTAATTCTACCCATAAACTTATCAAATACTCTTATTAAATGACACTATTTTATTATCTTTTTGTTTATTTTTAGTAATAATAATTAAAATTTTTAATTAATTAAAATATTAGACAAGAATTGCATGTAAAATAAAAA